ACGAAGTCTACGTATTCAATATCGTAGCACTAAGAGAGTTAACTCTTTTAACACAATGTTACGTGCGGAACGGACTTAAACAATTCGCACGCTAGCCCGACTCAAACGGTAATCGGTAAAGGCTCATCAAACCCGTTAATGACTGAGGGTTTGCCAAAAATCCTATATATGCGAAAGTCACTGACGCACCAGCCCTATTAGTTGGTCTCGTGACTTGGGCATCTAACAAATTCGGGATAAGATCCACACATGCAGATGAATCAGTTTTAAATAGTTGGTCATGCAGCCCAATATTTGGGACCGCCAAGCTCCAATGCCTTAAGAGCTTAAACTGTGTAGACTCCAACAAACGTATGAGTATAAACTATGTTAACGCCGGACAATGCGTTACAGTAAAGGCCGATGTTGGTTCACACATCGACAATTTTGCCAAAATAAGGCAAAGGATGATTCCAGGGAGTTCAATCGCATTCAGATATGAATTTCTGACAAAGATGATCAGTTCAAAGTCAACTCAACGATAAGAGCTAAATTCGAAAACTGACGCATCAACTTCAATCCAAGATTTCAACAACGGTCAGACGATAAACGCAGCACCGAAAGAACTTTATCTATTCGACAAAATACTGAATAGAGTGAAGGCTGAAGAAGTCAAGAATTAAAGCAGCTCACAGGTCCCTCTATGAGATTGAGGAAAGGGCCTATCTTATCCAAACCATTCCAGACTCCCCTATAAAAGAACGAGTCTGAAATTCTTTGAAGGGGGTATCTGTAGGCGTCAAAAATTACCTATAGGTCCCCGAATACAGCTCGAGACAGAGAGAATGTGATGAACGCCATTATCTAAGTCTGAGTGGATTATCCAACGCCGATGAACACATGAAGCGAAACGGCGAACCGAATAGCCTGTGCACTCACCGGCCACCATCAAGTGGTCCGCACGCCCATCGGCCACCAAATCGGCGAACCAAGTGGCCCGCGTGCTCACCGGTCACCACCAAGTGGCCCGCACGCTCATCAGCCACCAAATCAGCGAACCAAGTAGCCCGCGTGATCACCGGCCACCACCAAGTGGCCCGCACGCTCATCGGCCATCAAAACAGTGTACAAATCAACGAAATGATGAAATATGCGTAACGACGGAACGAGTCAAACCCGAGAAAACAAAAAAAGCCTCTGGCGGTCGGATCACGTCAAAACGATCCGGTCGGGCCGAGCTACCAGGTGACGGTTCGGCCAGATTTGATGATTTTTCGGTTTTGACTGTTTTTCTTAGGATTTGTTTGTTCCTGAGCGTCCCAACTGATCTGATACTGTGGTTATTCAGTTATTAACAGAAGATAAGGAGGAATCTCTCGTTCTTATAAAAATATCCGCTTCCGAAGCTTATACATACGAGCTCGGATGCTCATTTCTCCAGAGGGACATCAAGGGGGCGAAACGCTGCCGGATTGGAGAGTGGAGTCACGAATTTACAGCAAGGGTTAGCAGATCTTGGCGATCTCCTGTGCATAAAGAGTGGAGTTCGAGATATCTGAGGCCCGTCCCTTATTCCTCCGGATTTAAGCTTGGTTTTAAATCTCGAGAAGAGCCGTGATCTCACTTGGTCGAGATCATCGCTGCAGCGATTACTTCCTTCGTGAAGTAAGAGCTTTGATCACCAATCTGTCAACCGGATCTGATCCGTGGCGGTCCACGGATATTAACGTTCCCGGCACAGATAAAGTTCTCACGCAAGCAGCGGGCGATAAACGTCTGTTGTGCTGTTTGACAAGAGTCGTATCTTTTGTATTTTTATTGTATAAGGAGATCTTATAAAAAGATCAACTTTTTATTTGAGTTTATTGTAAACGATTAAAGTTGTAATAGATTCAATCACAATGAAAACAGCGATTTTTGACCCAAACAGTGTCAAATGTCACAAATCTTGTTACGGTTAAACTGACGACTGCTGAAGATTATCTAACCTGGAAAATGCAATTCACTGTGTTATTGATTTCCCATAATCTACTTGGTTTTGTCGATGGCTCGTGTCCTCCTCTACCAATGTATACTGACGGTGTTCAACTCAATTCTCACTACATGACGTAGATTTGGATCGATCACAGCCTACGCTCGTGGTTGTTTGCTACTTTATCTTGAGAGGTTTTGGTTGAAGTTCATGATCTTGCGCACTCTTTTCAGATTTGGGATCGATTGTAGCGTCGCTTCTTTACGAGCGGTCATGCTCGCGTTATGGAATTGAAACGGAGTATTACTTTCGATCAAGAAAAGTGACAATCAATCCATGGAGGTTTATTTACGCGAGATAAAAGTTATTGCAGATTCACTTGCAACGATTAATTCCCCTCTGAGCAATAATGAAGTCGTGCAACACACACTCTTTGGTTTGAACAGTGGTTATGAATCGCTCATCACGGCGGTTACCTATTTTGGCAACAATATCACCTTCGATGACCTCCATTAAAGTTAATCCTCCATAAACAACGCGTTCGCGCGTTTGGATACCATGGCGTTTTTGTTGTTTCCGTTTTTTTTTTAAAAAAACAATAAAACACGTTTGGCAACCGGGGTGTTTTTTTGACTTGACCCTTTACAAAATCCAAAAATTAAACACTTTTCTCAAAACACCAAAAACGTGTTTTGAGATTCTGTTTTTTTCTCATTAACCGCCGTCCGCTGCGCACTCGTTGCCGCGGCGGCGTGGCCGCACACGCCGTCGCCGGCCAGCCGCCTGCCGTCGCCCCACTCTCGCGCCATCGCCCGCTCCGCCGCGCGCTCACTCGGGCCGCCCGGCCGCCATCGCCGCCGCCCGCTCCGCTCGCGGCAGCACGCGCGTCCACCATCGCCCGCTGCCCGGGCCGTCGCCAGTCAGCCAGCCGTCGCCCGCGACGACCACCGGCGAGTTGCACCGTTAGCGGCGCGCCGCAGCACGCCCGGCAGCGCCGCCGCGACGCTACGTCGCCCGCCATTGTCCCGCAGGTCGCTCGCCCTCGGCCGCACCGCGCCCGCCGCTCGCGCCCGTGTCGGCCGTCGACCACCCGCCCGCCTCCGCCGCTATATAATAGTAACTAACAATGGTGTTTTCAAAACACTTTTGAAAAAGAAACACCTTGGCAGGATGTTTTTCTAAAAAACACTACAAAAAAATCGCCTTGGTATCCAAACACACCTTTAAATGAGATCCCGATATTCCTTCCCATCAAGCTCTCGTCGTTGGCATATCTACTTCAGGTGGCTCAGGTGCTACATCTGTTATTGTAGCAAGCCCAAACTGCACCTACATGGGGACACATCAACAACCCCTTCGGCCTCGGGTGGCTGACGTGGCCGTGGATCGTGGCGAGGCAGC